TTTAAGTTAAGTCTAATGTTTAAGACATGTTTAACTGAGGCCATTCCCCATCAGGATGGTCTCCTAGACCCCAGATGGGAGAAATATCAGCCTCTGCTAGTAAGGCTATGAGAGCTTAGCATCAGTGAGGAATTCAAGAGCACTGCTCAACCACAGACTGAATTGGCCAATTGTGGGTGTGTACCTTCAACCAAAAGGAGACTTCACAGTGCCGCAAATTCCTCAAAGTGCTTTCCCATGCCCACCAGAATACCCTCAGACTTGCTTGGGCTATGCTTCAGTCTTCTTTATACATGAACTAATGTCCTCCAAATACACAGGGCCATCTTGGTGGTAGTGCTATATGGTGAAAGATAAGTAACGTTTAATTACTTAATTAGTAAACAAAGTGCTGTACTGTCTGCAGTAACCCACAATGTTGATTCAAGCACTATGGAATAGACTATGGTTGATGGAATAGACCTGTTATGAATTCAGTGGGCAAGGACCTCAGCTAAAGTAAACTAGCAGGCCTGCAATGAAGTCAAAGCAGCTACTCTCACTTACATCAGCTGAAGATCTGGCGCAGCATGGGTTGAATTTTTGTTTTTAATTTTACCTGTGGTGTTTGATGAAAAATTGTAAAATTAATAAAATAAATTTATTTGGAGTCTGATCAAAGCTTACTGAAGTCTATTTGAGTTCTTCTGTTAGCTTCAACAGGCTTCGGATCAGATCCTTGATGAAAAATACTTGACAAGTTCTTATTGGAATCCAACTTCCCTAGTCCTAACAAAAGTAGGATCTACTAACCATATACACCAGAAATTTTGCTTTCCTAGACAAATCAATATTATATAGTTTCTCTTAGCTAGCATGAATTCAAAATGGAACTAGTAATTGAGGTACTATCAGCACATTCATTAAGGAGGCAATGGCTAAGACACCGGACTAGAGATCTGGGTTCTTGGCTCTGCCGTTGATTCGTTGTGTAACTTTTGGGAAATAACCTCTCTCTGTCTCACTTTTCTCATCTGTAAAATGGTGATTTTAATAATTCTGAATCACCTTTGTGAAGTAATGTAAGCTCTATGGACAAGAAATATCAATTGCTAATTAGTATCATTATTATGATTACTAAATGGGTTTTGGGGGAGTAAGATGTATTGCTTATTACTTTGGGGCATGCCAGACAAATTCCTCTTCTTCAGTATTTGTGGGAATATGAAAAAACAACAACAAAAATAATTTGAGACTCAAATAGCTGCTTCCTCCACTCAAGAAACAGCTGCTTTGAAAGTTCTAAAATTCAAACTCTGCTAAAATCACCAACAAAGTGTAGATTTATGATAAGTGATTTTTAACCAGTTCTGGGAGAAAATAAAACCTGTGTATGACTCATGCAGCTACAGCATATTCTTTGCTGAAAGTGGGAAACAAGAGTTTCTCAAATAGCTAGATATTTTTATTTTCCACCAGGGCTGGGCATATTAAGGTGCAATCAAAACCTTTATGGAAATCTCAGGCCATATCTTTATTGAAAAATGAAAAAGTTTGGTTCTTTTTGATCTATTGTTTTTTTGTAGGCACTCATATCTGTACTTAGGAAACAATATGCAATATGCCCAGCTCAACCAATGTAAGAGGTAGCATAAAATTTATGAGATATTTTTCAGCATGATTTTTCAGGCTCAATTAACATAACTGACTATTACAAGCAGCCAAGCTTTTGGATGTTTATCTGAACTGAAGCCCCTGAATATTTTGAGGTTCACCCATCACTTGAGTAAACAATCTGGAAAGAAAATCCCAAAGCATCCTGGAGTACACATAAACTTTGTAGGTTAAGCTCAAATTTACAAACTTTACTTTGGGACTAAATTCAAACATGAATGCTATGGTAATCTGGCCTAGAGTGAAATAAGTAGCAGCCTGGAATTTTCTTGAACTCCTGGAACAATGGTGGTAAGAACATTTGTGGAACCTACTGTATTAAAATTCTCATAGCTAATGCTATTAAAACTATATATGAATAGCAACATTAGCTTGGCCAATAGAAGGCTCTTATAATCACAGCATATTTGCAGTAGGTCAGCAAAGACTGCAACAAAACTTAACATTCATTTAATTCTACTGGAAAAGTGGGAGCACAAATCTTTGCAAACATATTGGATTGTGAAAAACACCGCAGTCAGATACAATCTGTGTGTAATGTTATTAGAGATGGGCACAAAATCCCAAATCCAACAACTCCTGAGCTTTGGGAGAAGTTTAATCAGCAGTCAAAATTGTGATTGTTCCCTTAAACGAAATGCCTGCAAAGTTAGAGAGCTTGGATCTAGGAGCGGTTCTGGCAGCCCAGGTGCTTCTTTCATTACTGTATCACCTAGTTGGTAATTATTAGATGTTCAGACATTACTTACTTTCTAGGAAGCCATCCCCTCAGTTTGTAGGAGTTTAGGAGGGAGTGGCCAGGGAATGCAGTTTATAAACCCTACATATATAGGGATCCACAAGGAAGTGAGCCTCTAGATAAGTTAGGCTTTTTGGTCTCTCCTCTGGCTTTCCAGACTCCCCTGCATGAGTTCGCAGCTTTTGACCCGAGATTGCAGGATTTTGGTCTGTTCTCTAGATTCCTGGACCACCCTGGCAATTCTGACTTTTAGCTAGAGACTTTAGTTTCTCCATCTTCAACCTCTGTGTATCAGGCTTCTTTAGCCATCTTCCAGGTTAGGGAAACCAGTGGGTGAGACTTCTTCCTCACCTTCCACTTACTAGCCAATCAGTCCTTTTTTTTTTTTTTGAGCTTATACTCAAATAAATTACTTAGGCTTGAATAGAGACTGGGAGTGGCTTAGTCATTATGCAAGGTAGCCTATTTCCCCTTGTTTTTTCCACACACACACACACCCCCGACGTTCTTGTTAAACCCTGGATTTGTGCTGGAAATGGCCCACCTTGATTATCATGCACATTGTAAGGAGAGGTTTCAGAGTAACAGCCGTGTTAGTCTGTATTCGCAAAAAGAAAAGGAGTACTTGTGGCACCTTAGAGACTAACCAATTTATTTGAGCATGAGCTTTCGTGAGCTACAGCTCACTTCATCAGATGCATACCGTGGAAACTGCAGCAGACTTTATATATACACAGAGAATATGAAACAATACCTCCTCCCACCCCACTGTCCTGCTGGTAATAGCTTATCTAAAGTGATCATCAGGTGGGCCATTTCCAGCACAAATCCAGGTTTTCTCACCCTCCACCCCCCCACACAAATTCACTCTCCTGCTGGTGCTAGCCCATCCAAAGTGACAACTCTTTACATAATCAAGTCGGGCTATTTCCTGCACAAATCCAGGTTTTCTCACATCCCCCCCACCCCCATACACACACAAACTCACTCTCAGCAGGAGAGTGAGTTTGTGTGTGTATGGGGGTGGGGAGGATGTGAGAAAACCTGGATTTATGCAGGAAATAGCCCGACTTGATTATGTAAAGAGTTGTCACTTTGGATGGGCTAGCACCAGCAGGAGAGTGAATTTGTGTGGGGGGGTGGAGGGTGAGAAAACCTGGATTTGTGCTGGAAATGGCCCACCTGATGATCACTTTAGATAAGCTATTACCAGCAGGACAGTGGGGTGGGAGGAGGTATTGTTTCATATTCTCTGTGTATATATAAAGTCTGCTGCAGTTTCCACGGTATGCATCTGATGAAGTGAGCTGTAGCTCACGAAAGCTCATGCTCAAATAAATTGGTTAGTCTCTAAGGTGCCACAAGTACTCCTTTTTTTTATTGTAAGGAGAGTGATCACTTTAGATAAGCTATTACCAGCAGGAGAGTGAGGTGGGAGGAGGTATTTTTTTCATGCTTTGTGTGTATATAATAAGATCTTCTAAACTTTCCACAGTATGCATCCGATGAAGTGAGCTGTAGCTCACGAAAGCTTATGCTCAAATAAATTGGTTAGTCTCTAAGGTGCCACAAGTACTCCTAGTCTTTTTTCTGTGCCATCAGCTCCTCCCATCTCTTTCAAAGAATGAAACCGGGGGAGTAACTTTGGGCAAAATGCACTGAGCAGCTGGCAAAGGAAGGAGGGAGTCACAGCGGCTGAGCAAGAAGCCCAGCCCAATCTGGTCTGTGTGAGTTGGTTGAATAGGTCATGGGGAGAGGGGAAAAGGAGGCACTGGGATAACTAAAGAGATATGGGGCCAGATTCTGTTTTGCACTGGTAACTGTGATCAAACTTTGTACTGTGTAGAGTTGATGAGACAGAGAGATAGAGGCTGTTACAGATGACAGGAGCTACAGAGAAGACTCTCACACTAACCATGTAAAGACTGTCTGAATGGAGGAGGTTGGTGCCGTGAAGAGAGATGGGTACCATGACATAGGCTAGGACAATCTAGAGGCTTTTAAAAAAAAGAGCAGTGAGCAATTTATAGCTTGATATGGAAATGAATGGAAGCTAATAAAATTGTTGGAGGATGTGAGAAATATAGCTATAGAAAGAGTAATGGCTTTTTGCATTTGGATTTTATTTCAGTGCTATAAATGTAATCATTAGTTGAGCATGTATAGTACCTACAATATTTGATCTAAAGTTTCTGGCACTAATTTTTTTTCTAACTAAGAAAAAATAAGTGTTCACAATTTTTTTCTTATACTGACTTTATTTTATGAACACTAGCAGATAGATTTAGATAGGTAAGAAAGCTCAATTGTTTGCCAAGGTATCTGATGTAGCTACAGTGAATCATATATATATTTTTTTTTGCCAAGGTATCTGATGTAGCTACAGTGAAGCTATATTTTTTTTATTAAAAAGCAGTTCCTGCCCAGCTCTAACTTTCATTCTTTATGTATATTGCACCAGTATTCAGCAGTAACAGTCAGGCTCAGCACCTATTGTGGTAGGTGCTGTACAAACTCATAAAAAAACCACAGCCTCCTTCCTGGAATGGCTTACAATGTAAGACATGATCCTGGAAAGAAATCCACAAGCACAGCCTCTTACACCCACCTTCCATGAGCCTCCGCATGACCAAATGAGTCCACGTTTGCAGACCTCCTTGCAGTACTCCCATTGGATTGATGGGAACAATTGCTGGCAGCACCCAAACAGGGGGAGGGGAATTAGGTTACTCAGTTGCACAACTGGTGGCTCGACAATATAATGAGAAACAATAAAATAACTTATATTTTTCTTTATCATCCTATCTGAACGCCTACTCGCTCCTGAGCTTTACTTGTCCCCAGTGCTCTATAACCCATATTCCATTTCCATAGAGTTAAATTTCACTTATTTTTAGTTTCAAACTTCCTTCCCCTTGTCCTCTCTCCTTTCTTCATTCATCTTGCTTTCCCTACCCTCAGCAATCCTCAGCCTCCATTCCAGAACCATTTAGTTCCTACCTCCCAAAAGACAATGTTTTCCCTGGCAATAATTTGCAGGTCGTTGCTAATGGCAGAGTGTTATCAGGATATGTTCCAGGGCCTGGGAGGATGCAAAAGTATGCCTGCCTTGCTGCTTGTTCCAGAGATACAGAGATATGGGAGATATGCAGTTGTAGTATACAGGTAGTCAAATGCAGCAGGCTAGTCTGAATCCCCTTTGTCAGCTACCAGAACCCCTATGCCCCTCCTACAGCTCTGATTCCCCCTTCTCGGTGGTAGATAGCACTCCTGTGCAAAATAAATCCATTTCACAGGAAAGCCAAGAGTAAACACCCTGAATTATCATAGGGAATGTGCTATTTCACTTGAGCTGGTTTAATAAACTGCTCCCTCTAGACAATGGGATGTAAAGGCCGGTCAATTGATTTGCCAAGTACTTAGCGACCTGCAGTAATAGCAGGTTGAGGGACCTGACAATGTGGATCATAATGTCAGACAGTGCGTCACTCCCACATTCTCAAATAGGTTCATGCACACAGCAATAAAGGCTGATCCAGCACTAACTCACAGAAGGAGTCTCATTGAGATCATTGGGTTATTACCAGTATGAAGAATTTGCAAGACCATTCCCTAAAGATCAGCCCTTTACTCATATGAGAAATCTTGAAATGAATGGGAGTACTTTACCTGAGTGAGAAGTACAAGAATGGACACTAAATGCAGCCAAAAAATCTAAAATATCCCTTAGGTAATTTTGTGCCCCTCATCTCTTATTGAACTCACACACAACCAAAAGCACAGTGTGATATATGAATTTATCTATTGATGTATATGAATGAATAAGCCAGTAAAATAAATTTGACAGAACTGAAAGATTGCTAAGTCTTTTGCTGCATGAAGACAACATTGTACAGTACATAGCATACAATGTTATCAGCTTGCATGTTAATTTGATTATGTTGGAATCAATCACTTGCCCATCACTCATCTAGTAAGCACAGCCTTAGTTCTCTAAGTAGTTAATTAGGTGACAATCTCACTCCAGCCCAAGAGTAGTTTCATTATCTCAAGTCAATTACTTTTTGATTTATCAATTAGTTTTGCCATTGTAGGTTCCAGAAGTATCATGCATTGCAATGTGGCACAATTTAATTACACTAGAGTTTATTAGCACAGGCTTAAAGGCACTTAGAGAAATCTCAGGAGGTTAATAATAATAATAATAATAATAAGCTATATTCAGATCAAAATTTGAAAGTATAAATTAGGACATTCAAATGTTAAAACTCACCACACAAGAGTATAATAAAATATACTTGGATTCTCATGCTGATGTATTTATGATTCAAGACTTACTTATTGCACTTTGGTAAGCATTTCACTCTTTAGTGCTCAGCATAACACACTGTGGTAAAACATTAAAAGATGTGAGGAAACTCCATAACAAGATCAAGTTATGCAAATGAAAGGTTGCAGTGTCATGAACCATAACTAGACTAAACACTATTGGAAATATTAATTTATAAAGACACAATTAATTAGAATTTGTTCAATCCTTTGAACAAAAAAAGGTCTGCCCTTAGAGAGAGTCCAGATGGCCTGACTTGTTCCACAGCAACGTTGATAGGCAAGTACTTGTTTTTTTGCTAGAACACTTAGAATGCTTGAATAGGCCGTTAAGGATGGCATATTTAACATCCTGTAATGTCTGTGAAGTTAATTTGTAAAAGCAGTACACAGCCAGAATAGAACTTCCCTGACCCTGCAAGGTGATGAGTACTCCTGTGAGAAATGGTCTGCCCTCTGCCTTCATTGCAGGGTTGAACATGCTCACTAGCTTGTAGAAGTGTTCAACAACTTATAGAATTCAGTGCTTAGTGCCTCCATAACCTGGGTTCACACACATAAATTCTGTGATCAGTGAGCTCATTGTTTGAGTAAACACAGTTCAAGGGAGAATATATGCTATGCCATATATCAGGAGGGAATTGTAGTTACCACTGGGAGATCAGTGATGACTGTAGAGCAGTGGTGGTCAGCCTGTGGCCTGCGGGATGCATGTGGCCCATCAGGGTAATCTGATTATGGGCCGCGAGACATTTTGCTGACGTTGACTGCCCACAGGCACGGCCCCCTGCAGCTCCCAGTGGCTACGGTTTGCCATTCCTGGCCAGTGGGAGCTGCAGGACGTGGTGGGCCACAGGGATGTCCTCTGGATTAACAGGGAAGGGTTTAAAAACTTTTACTTGGGGGGAACCACTGTGGTAACAAAAATTATTCAATTTGCCTGGGCCACAGTTGATCAGGCTGGGGCCACAGGATTTTTTGGGGGAGGAGATGACGAGGCACACCAAGTGTTTAAATTTTAAAGCTTTATTGATAACATAATAAAATAGCAGCAGAGAGTGTTAGGAACGTTTTCACATTACTTAGGGGAAGAAAGCAAGTGTTAACGTCCCAAGCCCTAACCCACTTTTATACTTACATGTGCCTCCCAGATTGGCCAAGTCTGGGTGTAACGTTAGAAGAAGGGCGGGGGGGGAAGGTGGACGGGAGTGCTGTTCTAGGCCCAGGCCGTCCAAGGATCTGCTGTGCTCTCTGAATTGCTCCAGCTCTTATGAGGGTTTTAAGCCCTGGGGTTTTTGGGGGGTGTTTTATTCTGGGACCTCTGTTCCTGGTGCCTTTTGTGTTCGTTTAAACAGGCTTGCTATGGCCTTTTTGTTTTTTAAAAACATTTTGTCTTTGGAGACTTTATTTTTTCTTTTATTGGCCTTTCCTGTTGTTGTTTTATTTGCTCTCACTGTTCTTGCTGTTATTTTTACAGCTTTGCTTTACTTAGGTTTTGGGGGTTTTTTTAAGGCTGGTCGGGGGGTTAAACTTTCCCCCTTCTGTCTTGGCAGGTAGCAGCTGGCCTTGGGCTAAAGTCAGCTTCTTATCTTTGAACTAAGCTTGCTAGCTGCAGTGTTAAGTTAACCCGGGTTTTGCTTTTTGCTCTGCCCTCCCCCCCCCCCCCCCCGGCCTTTTGTACCTGCAAAAAAACCTTCCACTCACACACCTTTAACCCTCCCCAAAATGCTTTGCAATGCTTGCAACAGCGTTAGCAATATACAGTGCTAATCTGCCTTCCCAGGGGACTTGCTAAGGAAAGGGGGACATTAGATTGTAACACCTCAACTATGTACACTACTTGCAGGGGGAAGTCTGTGAGAAGGTATGGCCTATGTGTGAGGAGTCTTTAATTCTGTTTCTGCAGAACTTTTCATCAGGCCCCTGCCCTGTGAGCGTTTCCACTCAGGAGGAGGTAGGAGCTTCTCCCATACTATATAAAGAGCTCAGTTATTGGGTGCAAGGTGAAGAAAGGAGGTTTGTAGAAGGATTCTACCCTCCCTTTCCTGTTGAAATCTCCAAAGGACTGAACCATCTGACCTGTTTACTTCAGGACCCATGGAAACCTGAAGAAAAGCAGTTGGGTGGGGGGTGGACCAAGAAGACTAGCTGGTCTATTCTTGTTAATTTCTTTGAACCAGAAGAGGAGAGTAGAAAATGACATAAGGGAGTAAATTAGTGCTCTTTTTCCATTGTATCTTTGGCTGGGGTAAACAGATATTTTGTTTGGCTCCTAGAGGATGAAGAGCTGGAGTGGGGATTTTTTTGACTTTTTTGTCCTGGGAAAGTGAGGTGTATTCTAATTTCACCAGTGAGTTAAATCATTAGAAAACACTGGACTCCGTTTTAATCTAAGAGAGGGACACCAACACTCCAGGAGTCTGACTGAGAGAAAATTGAGGCTCAGACCCAGTAGCTCACCATGGTTAAGAATGTCCCCAACAACACTGATGAATGTGTGTGTGAATGTGTGTGTGTCTGTACCTCTGCTCAAAATACAGTACTCTACTTAGACATACAAATGTTGCCTCTGCACCAAACAGTATATGTCAATGAAATGCTCAACAGGATATACATCAATTTATTACGATACTCTCTATAGGTTTGTATACTTTGATCTGGGTAGCCAGTCCTGGTTCTGCAGAAGTCACTGGCTGAACTCACTTTCCATCTAATTGATGGGACCGTAGGGTTTTCAAAAGCATTAAAGATACTCAGTCCAATGCTAAGTGTTTTTGAAAATCCTACCCTCGGACTTTATTTGTATATCTACTTGCGTCTGAATGACAAATTATATTTATAATCAATAATTTTCAAAGTAAAATTTTGCTTTTTGGGGCTCCAAATGAGTGTTTAAAAAAAAAAAAAAACTAAATCTGGTCCATTCTTGAGTGAAAAATGTATGGGTTTGTGTGTGAACTTCACATTTCATGGTAAATCTGCCAACACTCAGATCTGAATTGTGTTGCAAAAATGTCACATTATGCTAATAAAGCTCTTAGCTACATGTTCTCTCCTTAGGCTTGACTCCTCCTGCTGAGTAGGGTAACGTGGCAGCAATTCAGCAACACCTGTTAGTGCAGGATCAGGGTGATTCTGCACTTCCTGTTCCTGACCATCATTTTTTACCTTCTGTTTCTACATGATGCACCACACATTTGCACTGGACAGGATGAAGCCCTATATTTGCTTTTCAAGCGATTGAAGTCATAACAGGAGGAAAAGCAATGGGGGAAACCAAGACAAGGCATCCATCTTCCTCTCTCCAAATCCTTCTGTTAGCACATTTCTATAAACGGATTAATCATAAATTA